ATATATATATATATATATATATATATATATATATATATATATATATATATATATATATATATATATATATATATAAAATACCCATCTGTATTAGTGTAAAGATAAATAATAAATAGTTTTGGGTATATTGCATTAGTCTCAGGTATGTTTATTATAATCGATAAAAAATAAAATACTATCATATGATATAGATTATGCTAATCAAACAATTGGTATTATTGTGTTAGTAATTCAAAATTTGATAATTTAGCAACTAATAGGTAAAGTTTATCTAATGTACATTATATTTCGGCACGTAAATTATAACACAAAATTTGACCAAATTGTACATTCACGTAATTCTAACATAATCTTATTACACCCCAAGTCAAACTACCATATTTTCCTCACTAACCATAATTACTATAAAAAAAATTAAAAACTAAAAATTTAAAAATCAAAAAATCAAAACTAAAATTGCAAGCTACGCCAAAAAAAAAAAAAAAAAAAAAAAAAAAACCACCAACTTTCCGATGATGTTTCACCACCCACATCGGAGGAAGTTAACAACTGAAAACAATCAGAATGAATTTGAAACCGCCACCGATTTCGAAAGCTACATTTCATCTTCTTCTTCTTCTTCTTCTTCATTAAGTTCTCGTTCTTCAACAACTCCATTAATAAATCACCACCACCAAAACAAGATTTGCAGGATTAATATTACCACCACACGTGATCCGGGTCATCATGACCCGAAACAACTAACGGGTTCGGGTTGTTTCAGTGTCGTCTCACCCAAACCCTGGGAAAAGTTGAAGCTCTGGTTCGGTTCAGCTTCTTCCATGGCCGCTGCTACCCCCCACTCTGTTGATTTATCACTCCAATTTGTCAGTTTTTTTTTTTTTTTCTAAATATGTAATTTATGTTTTGGAATATAATGATTTAATTTATTTGCAGTTTTTCATGTTTAGTTTATTTAATTACATGAAATATTTTTGGTGTGTTAATTTCAGAGAAACAAGAAGCAGCAAAAGAGGGAGGAACTCGAAAGAGAGGTAATTTAAGGTCGCGATTTGGAATTTTTTTATGCGTCGATCGATTTTCGATTAAATTGTTCGTCTGCATATATATATATGTATTTATATAGTAGAACTTCGATAAATTAATAACATGGCTTAAATACTAGTGTCTTCTCGTCCCGTCTCGGTAAAAACCTACTAAATTATTAATTCAATAATTTAATATTTTGCTAAATTAATAGAATTTTACTAGTTACGACAATATTAATTTATAGAGGTTTATATATATACTAATTTGATAAATGTAACATATAAAAGGTTACCGTGCTACACAAAATGCTGGCAAATGAACAGAAGGTGAACGAGTATCTCGAACGAATCCGACATCGAAAAGACGGTTCTGCCCTTGCCATTCCGAACTTTCTTCCATCCAAAGTAAGTCCTTTTTTTACCAAAAAAAAAAATAATGTTTGGTCGGAATTTTTTTTTTTACGTATTACGATTATGGATTTTGCTAAATTCGACAGATGAAGGAAATACTAGCAGAGTTGGCAATGGTCGAAAACGAGATAACACGTCTCGAAAGCCAGATCAAACACCTTCAAGACGAAATGCAACACGAAAAGGAATCTTATAATAACTACAAGGAATATTCTTCACCGCTCCCGCCAAACTCGAGCACCGTAAAAAAAATAAAAAATCCGAATGAAAACGTCACGTTCGAGACGAAGGCCCTCCATTTCATAAGCAAGGCCATCAAAGGAGACTATCGTTTAAGTGACTTCAGCAATACAAACGACAACTCGAACAATGGATTATTATTTTCCAATCAAAAGGAGAACAAATTTCAAGAAAGTCGAGGAATATTCCGAGAAAAAGTATCGAAACGAAACGGCATATTGAAAAATCCCTCCCCCTTGAGAGAGCCAAGGCATTTAACTCCAAGAGTAATGTGAAATTCAATTTACTATTATTCTCGAGTACATGAATTATTCGTACTTATAACAATTTTTTTTTATCGGTTTTTTTCTTTCTTTCTCAGAGAGATCGAAATCTTGAAACTCCGACCGAAATTCCACCTAGAGTTCTATCGACCCCTTTACATTCGGTGGAAGAAAACATCCAAAGATGGCCACCGAATAAACTATCCGAAAATATAATGAAGTGTTTGGTATTCGTTTTTGTGAGGCTTCTTCGAACTTCTAGAGTGATGGAGTTGGAGAAATCGGGCCCCATTTCCCGTTCCACGAGCTTCTCTCTGAGCTTCAGGGCAACAACTGAAACGGGCCAGAACTCAAAAACGGGCCCCGTTTTTCAAAAGGAGTCACGACAGCAAGATCCATACGGAATCTTCGATTCGGAAGATTCCGTACCTAGGGATACCGGGCCTTACAAGAACTTGGTTAGATTCACATCAAGCTCATTGGACTTGAAATGTATCCAAAACTCAAGCTCTGTTCCTCTCTTACAGAAATTAAAGTGAGTAATTAACAACATGCAATAATAAATTAATTATATTTAATCATCTCTAATCACTAATTAACATCTATATTTTTTTTTTTTATTTTTTTTTTTTAATTTTAAATACAGGATTTTAATGGATGGTCTGCAAAAAGTGGATTTGAGGTTTTTGAGTCATCAACAAAAGCTTGCATTTTGGATCAACATGTACAATGCTTGTATCATGCATGTAAACATTTTTCATTTATTTATTTATTCCCTAATATATATGTAATTATTTATATGTTCATAGATAAATAAAATTGAATTTCCATTAATTTTTAATTTATTATTTCAGGGATATCTTCAATATGGGATTCCAACAGTTTTTAGCCCTGACAACCTGCTATCACTAATCAAGAAGGTACAAAATTACTACATCATTACATACTACAAAATCTTGTTAATTAATATTTATGTACACATTTTCTAATTTTATTATAATTTCTCTAAATTCCTTTTTTTTTATGATCAATTAGTCAACTCTCAACATAGCCGGAAACACAATCGACGCTGACTCAATCGAGCATTTCATCTTGAGAAAGCCACAAGATTCGTTAGTCGTCAAGGAGGTACGTGCACACATATATATATAGGCATACATATAATTTTTGTACATATTACAATCCGACGTTAACATATAAAAATGCCGTTAATTAATATCAGATTCTGAACGAAGAAGAAGATAGTAATAAACAAATCATGATTCACGAGCTATACGGACTCAACACACCCGATCCAAACATCGCATTCGCCTTATGCTGCGGCACTCGTTCTTCACCAGCAGTAAGTAATTAATTACCATGTTATATTTATATGTTTAATGCAATTAACTAAAATTAACTAATTAATCTTTTTTTTTAATTTAATTAAAACAGGTTAAAATATATACAGGTGATGGGGTGGTGAGTGAACTAGAGAAATCGAAGCTGGAATATTTGCAAGCTGCTATAATGGTGAAAACCTCGAAAAAAATTGCAGTTCCCGAGCTTCTGCTTAGGAACATGGCTGATTTTGCCGCCGCCGACAGAGAGGCCGCGGTGGTGGAGTGGCTGAGCCACCAGCTTCCCACCGCGGGCTCTTTGAGGAAATCAATTGTGGACTGTTGCAGGGGAATTCACGGTGGTAAGGCATCGGCACACGTGGACAAGATACCTTATGAATTTGAATTTCAGTATTTGTTGGCAATATAAATTAAATTATTTATAATCGAGTCTATGTACAATATTCTTTTTGTGGCTATATGAATGAATAATATGAAATAAAAACATAATTTTAATTCTTAAATCAGTTCCAAAACTTGTCACGCCTCTTATTTTACAGCTACCATGAATTATTGAATTGTACTATCCTTTTAGGTATTCCCGCAAAGTAATTAGATAAAGTTGACCATTGACCACTAATTAAAATAATTAATTTTAGATAAACCAAAAAATCTTTTGATGATGATTTGATCACATCATCAAACCTAAATAAAGAAGAATCCATCACGTGGTAGAAAAAAGCAAAAAAGAAAACAAAAAGTTACTCATAAAATAAATAAATCATGTGAGTATGTAATTTAAGCGGGTTCATGACATTATTTATCGGAAGTGAATCATGAATATTTGTATATTATTTAATTAAAATTACATTAAATATAAAATAAAAATCTAATATAAATTAAATATTTTTTAATGCAAGTAAAAAAGGCCTTTACAGCTGGTTTACATTATATCCAATGAAATTAAAATTATATTCCAAGTTATATTCAGTAAACCAAGAAAAGAAGAAGACAGTCAACTTGAAACTTAGGCATTTTATTCTCATTTCTCCACGGGTTTAATTAAATTAAATTAATTTAAATTAATTTGTATTTCATAGTCCTGTCTTTATCAGCACTATCTTCCCCAACAAATTAAATAATCTTTATCAGCATTTTTTGCAATTAAATAATAATATTTTTTTAATATTGTCTCAACAAACATAATCTCTTCTTCTCCTGCCTACCAAATCATTAAATCGAATATCTTTAGATTAAATTAAGAAGACGAAAATACCAATTTTCTGATCAAATTCTTCTGTATCTAAAAAATCATTCTGAATTTTCGGCTATGAGTTTATCAACCCTTAATCCCACTCTCTCTACCCCGGATTTGAATCCCACGCGCTCGGATTCCTGTGTAGAGATCTCAATTTTGGGAATCTGTTACTGTTATGTGTAGATCAAAAATGGCGATTAAAGCTTCGGAACCCGCCGGAAAAAGTAATCCCTCACGAACTCCGGTGAGATCTTCGTCCAAGTCATCGGGGAGAGGGAAACCCCCTTCTTCATCTTCGTCGTCTTCTAACAACCCTAGATCTACCCTCTCCAACCAATTCAACGGCGGCTCCTCCTCCTCCTCCGCCACCGCCTCCGCCTCCGCCGCCGCGTCATCCTCGTCGTACCGACTCGACAGCTCCGTCGCCACCACATCGGCCTCCGGCCGCACCTCCCTGTCCAATTTACGCGATAACCTACCCGAGAGCACCCAGATTTACGATTTCTCCGAAATACGCGCCGCCACCAACAACTTCCTGAGAAAGCGGCACTCCTCCACCTCCTCCTCCTCCCAGTCGTGGCGGTGCGTCCTACGCGGGAAGGACGCCATCGTTTTCCAGCGGAAGCTGAGGAAATCGATGGAGAAATCGGACGTCCGGCGGAAACTCGCCGTGATCAGCAAGAGCCACTACACGAGCATAGCGAAGCTCCTCGGAGCGTCGATCTCCGGCGAGCACATCTACCTCGTCTACGAGTTCGCGAACGGGTCGGACCTTGGTTCGTGCCTGCGGAGCAAGATCAACCCGGATTTCACGGTGCTCTCCACGTGGATGTCGCGCGTGCAGATCGCGACCGACGTGGCGCACGGCCTCGACTACATCCACAGCACCGCCGGCCTGAGCATCGACATGGTCCACAAGCACGTCAAGAGCAGCGCCGTCATCGTCTCCGAACCCTCCTTCAACGCCAAGATCTGCCACTTCGGCGCCGCGGAGCTCTGCGGCGAGACGGCGGCGGACAACGACGGAAAGCAGCTTCCCGCGGCGGCTGCGGCGGGGGAGCGGCAGTTCGAGGGAGTCAGGGGGTACATGTCGCCGGAGTTCAAGGCCACCGGGGTGGCGACTCAGAAATCCGACGTGTACGCCTTCGGCGTCGTGATTCTCGAACTCATCACCGGAATGGAGCCGTTGAGGTACAAATTCGACCGGAGCAGCGGGAGCCACAGCTTGATTTCGGTAATTGAAACGGCGAGGCAGGCGGTGGAGGACGGCGGCGAGGGGACGGTGGAAGGAAGGTTGAGGAGGTGGGTGGATAAAAGGCTGAGGGATTCGTTCCCGGTGGAAGCAGCGGAGAAACTCACACGTGTGGCGTTGCAATGCGTGCAGGAGGATCCGGATAAGCGACCCGAAATGAAATGGGTCGCGGGTAAGATATCTAACATTTATTTAGCCTCTAAAAATTGGTCGGACCGGGTTAAGGTTCCTATAGGAATTTCGGTCTCTTTGGCCCCTAGGTAGGTAGCTCTTTCAATTGTTATTTAATTTTTTTTATTATAATGATGGCATAATTATTTTATATTTTTTGTGATGGGGGCAAAATAGTCATATTTGGGACAGTTGAGTTCAAAGCCATGGCTTTGAAGAGTAAACTGCAAAAACTACCCCTGTGTAATCTCGAAATAGCAAAAACCCCCCTGTGATAAATAAACTAGCAAAAGCCTCCCCTGTGAAATTATTTAAATAGCAAAAACCCCCCTATGGAATTATTTGAGGGTTGACTTGATATAAAAAGACACAAATACCCCTGGAGTCTTGCAATTAATAAATTCTTATATTTTATAAATATTTTAATTATTTTATTTAAAAAATAATCAATTTAGTTGTTTACTATTTTTTTTTAATTTCTAGTCAAACAAATTAAAAAGAATAAATATACATATAATATGTATATATATAAATACATTTTGAGGGACAATTTTGTCATTTCAAGTCTAAAAAATCAGCTAGGAGGGATTCTGCCTTTGACTAAATTTCACAGGGGGGTTTTTGCTAGTTTATTTATCACAGGGGGTTTTCGCTATTTTGAGATAACACAGAGGTAGTATTTGCAGTTTACTCTAGCTTTGAATGTAGAAGATGAAAGCTCTCTTAAACATTAATTGCTTTCACTTGACCATAAAATCCCACATTGACAAATATGTCCAAGTTGACATTTATGAGTCAACCCCCTTTTTTTAATTCAAAATGTTTGGTATAATTTATCATACTCTAATTTGCTATTTGTGTGCATATGTGTTCTTAACTTAATTGAAACCTAATCCTATTAGAATCTAGTTTTATAATTCAATGAAGATTGTACGGTTATGAGCCATGCAGCACGAAAACGTCGACACGGTGAAGCAGACACTTTATAAAGACATATTTCAATAATGGGGATACGAAAACTTTGGAGAAATGTGTCAATGTTAAAAGTATATTTATTTCTATATTGACACTTTATAAGTTTTTATTTATATATAATTTTTTTTATATATTCAAAATAAATATTATTATCACCTATCAATTTACAATTGATCATTAGATCATGTAAATAAATAGGCGATCGACAAAAATATCTGAAAATTTGCTGTTCAAACATGTTACTAACAACTTTTCATAAATTACAAAATGACCGATAAGGTTTTTGGCACGTGTTCTAAAGTGTCGGACATGAATAGTAACATACGTTATGAAGCTTTTACAAATGATAAAAATCATGTGTGATGTAACTCATTGGGCTTGTCGCAATGAAGCCCAAATTAATTTTTATTTTATGTTACTAAAGCCCAACTTTAGATCTTATTAAGAAAAATAGGCCCAAATCTCGAACAAGGGCTTTAGTTATCACAACTTTTGGCCCATTTTTTTCTTTCTTTTTTTGAGATTAGGTCCAATTTAAATAATGGGCACTATTTCTTTTAATTAATTGTAAATTTTGTTTTTACTTAATTTTTATTAATCTCTTTATCTATTAATCTGAATGTATACAAATAATATATGTATCGATATATTTGTACGTAAAAATTCATACCTAGTGGTGATAATAGTAGAAGATTAAAGGTGAAGCCCCTATATATAAAATATAAAACTTGAGTGCGTATATATGAAAAGTAATTAGGGTAGTGTGTTTGGAGGTTAGGGCACCATTGGTAGGGTTATGTTATGTATGTGTGTTTTCTGACGTGAAAACAGAGCATGACGTCATCATTAAATCACCCATCATGCATGCCTATGCACAGTTGTTAATTTATTATTTTTAATAGGGTAATTAATTCAAATATCCTTGAGTTACGGTCAATTTACGAAAAAACTCCTCTTGTTTTAATAATTGTATCTTCCCATCAACTATGATTTTTTCTTACATTTTCACCCTTATGGTGTCAAATCTAACATAATTATCTAGATTTCGTGGAATATGCTCTAGTTTGTATTCGTTTTGTGTAAAATACAGTTTCTGATACACCACAATCTGATATACACAAGCCAAAAAACACATATTATGATCATCTTGCTTCAAAATGTGTAGTTCAATTGGAATTAACAAATGGAATTAACCAAGTACAACATATAATCTCGAATATTCCACTCTCGAAGATTCCACTAAATTTGAAACCGTAAGGATGGACGTGTAAGAAGATTTATGGTTGAGTGAGGTTGTTGCAATTACCCAAATAAGATGGGGTTTTGTAATTTAACCATAAATCAGAGCTGGTTGTAATTTACCCTTTTTAATATTATACTAAATTTCTATTAATACTATTGTTCTTATTTTTAATTATTTTAAGAAACGAAGAGTAGAATAATATAAAGTGATATCGCGACCGAAAGTGAAATTTAACCTAGAAAAAAATAGTAAAATAATTGTAGCATCAATACCCAGGTAGCCCTTGGATCGAGATCAGACGGTCAGTAATACTTTTCAGTTCAAAGCTGTACATATATATACCTACTTGGTTTTGCTTTTACCTAAACTGACAAAAAGAATTATCAACACCTAGTTACACGTGTCCGTCCCTTCTTAATGCATCACTAATTAATAACCTCATTTACTTATTAGCTTAATTAAACATAAAGAAATACAAAAAATTAAACTAATTAATTTGATTAAAATAATGTGATGTGAAAGGGACAGGCTGTAACCTGGCGATGATTGCGTCACCTGGGGGTGACAGGCTACCAAAAGAAAGATCTTTTGCTTATCTGAAGTGGCCATATTACCAATTACCCATAAAAATTACTGTAGTAGTAGTAGTAGTAAAAATTAAAAGCTGGCTCAGTTAAAAACTGTTTGTACGGCGTTAAATATAACCCCATACACACAACACAACTCCCAGTTCCAAGTTACGATGACGTTTTGGATTTCCGTTTTCTCCAATTCCGTCCGTTGGATCTCTTTAATATCCGACCGTTGGTAATTGTTTCTTAATTGGGGTGCGTTTGGTGATTAAAATGTCTGAACAGATAATTAACTATTTATTAAGGTGCAATTTGATTTACACCCCCATTGATCACTAAAACCTTAGCCATAGGTAAATTAGACCTATGCCTAGCGCCCCAAAACTTTTGTATATTATATTAGGACCCTAAAAAACTATGTTTTGTTACATATAGGGTCCTGAGATATGAACTTTTTTTTGGAAAATTTTATATAAATAAATGGGAATGGAGTACAAAAAGTATATTATAATTAATGCTTGTAATAATTATACATAAAATAACAAATATTACCCAAACAAATTTACTATCATATTAAAAAAAGAAGAATAAAGGCTCAAAATTTATTTTTTTTGCCCAGAGCCCATATAAATTTGGGCCGGCTGGCTCTAACACTAATACTTTTTCAAATCAGTGCAATAGATTTAGTTGGTGACGACACACGCCCATTCGATCGTAGGACTTTTGGATCCCGAGCGAACTTTATAGATGTAGTTGATGAGGCCGCTAGCATGGGCGACGGCGATGTGTTTCTTTTTTCTTCTTCGAAAATAATATTACAATGGATAGGCTAAAAAAATTAGTGGTTCGGCGACTTCGGTAAACATTTATCGATTTTTTTGAAGAAATAATACAACTTTAAACATGGTAACTTTATATTGTAATGATAAATATGAAGAAAAAAAATTATATATGAGTACGGACAAATTAAACAGAAAAAATGATGGTGCTAAAATCATTGAACATTTAAACGGCACCAAATATTTTGAAGGACTTTTTAGCTAATTTTCATTAAGATCAAAATAATACAGATGGTATTTTCGTAATTAGTGATTTGATTCGGGGGCATGTATGCAAATAAACCTTTCCATCGACAATTATTAAACTCTTGATGGGCCCCACAATCAGAAGTTGGGGGAGCAACAAATATTTCTAATCCTGATTGATTTTCTTCTTTGAAGATGATCCATCCATGTCAAATTTATTATTAGATTTTTTTTTCCGCCGTCAACTCTAACGGAGAAGCGACGTCAACTCCTTCTCCTTCCCACAAAGGATTATTCGATTATTCGTTAAAATCCAAACGGCGCAAATTATCAGCTCAGCTAGCAATCATTGTCCTACACACTTCTCTACTCTTCCAGCTATCTCTGCAGCTCCTCCTCCTCCTCCCCCCCACCCCTTCCGCCTCCTACCCCACATACTCCATCGTCGAATCTTCGCCGGAAAACCCACCGGAAAATCTCCTCTTTCAAAATCAAAAATCACCAAAAACAGGTAACTATATATTATGAAAACCCTTTTTTTTTTTCTTGATCTTTTTGTGTGCGTGCTTAGTTTTGTTAAGTGATTTGTGTGTGTGTGTGTGTGTGTATACATACACTTTTATGTTTCTTGAATACATGCAAAAATCTGGGGATTATATTTCGTTTTTTTTGTTTGTTTCATTTTAGTAGAGAATCAAGAAACTAAAAAGAAAAAAAAAAAGAAAAGAAAAAAAAATCCAGTCTTGACTTTTTGATTCTTTGTCCGAACAAACACTGTTTGTGTTTCAATATGTGCAGATGATGTTTAATTTGTCTTGAGGTAGTTTCTTCGTCTGAAGAAAGAGAGAGAATACAAAAATAAAATATATAAAAAAATACAGTAGTACAGCCTCGAAATCTAGGGTTTTTGAGGTGAAAAGTTTGAACCTTTTTCTTTTTTTTTTTTTTTTTTTTTTTTTTTTTTTTTTCTCTAAATCTTTATGATGATATATAAATATACTGGTGTAGTACAGTGTCTAGTCCCATGATCTCGTCTTGTTCCTCTCTTTTTTATTTATTTTTTATTTTTTATTTTGTGAATCTTTCAGACATATGATTAAATAGTAAAACAGTGAATATAACAGGTCTATTTTACTGTTTTTGCTTGTATGGGGAACCATTGTTTCTGATAAAGGTTTTTACTATTTCACTTTCTTTCTTGATTTTGATTGATACTCAGATTAAATTTCCCTTATTTTTTACTATCTTTTTTCTCCGCATTTTCACTTGTCCTAGATTACTGTCCTAAAGTCTTTTTGTTTGTTGCTTATTTGTACTCTTGTTGTAAGGAATGTGTGTGTATGTGTGTGTGAGTGTGTGTGTTATCTTCTATGAAATTTGCTGTATTTGTGAACTTTTTGTTTATGTTTTTCTTTATTCTAATGATAATAATACATATAGTTTGTTAATGCATGCAGGATTTGGTCATTCCTCCGACCGAAAACGAGTGTAATCAACACCGCCTTTAGTTTGAGATCAACTGATCAATTCGAAATGTTGTTCAAGACTACAATGAAATCCTAGTGTAATTAATAGTTATTATTCATGGATATGAGCAACTTTAGGCCTGAACTCCACGTTGCGCAGCAAAGCCGTCGAGACAAGCTGAGAATCCAGCACGAATCGAACGGGCCCCATCACAACATAGAAGTTTACATCAACAATTTGGAGCAGCAGCAACATCATGGTCTAAATAATTACGAATCCGCTATCCCTCGAACTTTCCGACCCGGAAGCATATGCTACAACCCATCGGAAATCTGCCCGGAAGTCCTCAATTTCCCGCCGGAAAATCAAGAACCGGATAAACGGGCTCCGTTCGAGAATTTCTACAGGGAAATTCCAACCGCAGATGTGAGTAATGACCCACAATACTTTAACACATGGAAAACTGTCGGCTCGCAGTCTACCACCACCGATAATAATTGGGTGCCTAATGATAATAATAATACTCAAAGCCCGATTTTTGTCGGAGCTCGTATGTCGACATTGGACAATGTCAAACCTTATCTAGGATATCAAGATAATCATAACATGCATTGCACCTCTTCATCACTCTACCAAAATGCACTGCAAGAACTCGTTACATCTTCGAACGTTCGACCTTTCGGTTTCGAATCGGCTTCTTTTAGGCAAATGGGCCCGCAAGACACGCGGGCCCTCTCGTTGTCCCTTTCGTCAGTTCCGTCTCCAAGAGTGCATGCAACTCAGATTGCTGACCACATTCAAGAAACGGTTACCTGGAAGCCGGAATTTTCGACTGCCGGTGGTAGCAACTTGGCGAGCGCTTCGACTCATCGGAATCCGGGCCCGCTTGGTCCTTTCACGGGCTATTCAACCATTCTTGGGAATTCGAAATTTCTGAGGTCAGCGGAGCAGTTATTAGACGAACACTGCTGCGGGTCCCGGCATAAGAACGTTGATGTTTGTGAGGTGTCGAATAAGATTTCGGAGGTAGTTAGGGTTTCGGTTGGTGATCTTGAAAATGATCTAGATGGTGTCGGTGGCTCGTCATTTGCGTTCAATGGCTCAAATGATTCTTATCAGCCCGAAAGTCTTCAGAAGAAGGCGAAGCTTATGTACATGCAGGATGAGGTAATTGGTGAAACTTTTATGGCATTTTTTTAATCTTTTTTTCCGAATATTTCGATTATGTTTGTGATGAACATTGCTTACATATGTGTGAAAAAAATTCAAACTAGAGCAGTAATTAATTGATTGAATTAATGTTAAAATAATTACCGCACATAAGTACCCGTCGTATAATTGATTGAATTCATGTAAATAACTGTACAATGCAAGATAACTAGAGACGGAGGTTTTATCTCGTTTGTGGAATCTTGAAATTTTACATACTTAAGAGTTATAAAACTCTCTGCATATCAACATGTCATATAACTAATCGATTTTCTTGAAATATGTAAATAGCTAAAAAAAAAATCTTCCTTTTTTTCTGAATTAGGTGTGCAAAAAGTATAAACAGTACCATCAGCAGATTCAAATGGTGGTTTCATCCTTCGAATCCGTGGCGGGACTTAGTGCTGCAACTCCGTACGTTTCTTTAGCTCTAAAAACGGTGTCCAAGCATTTTCGGTGTTTGAAAAACGCAATAACGGATCAGCTTAAAAGCATGAGAAATGCATTGGGGGAAGAACTAATGTCACCCTCCGTTGACACAAGAAGTATCAAAGGCGATGCTGGTGGTTCGATGTTGAAGTTTTTTGACCATGGCTTTAATAAGCAGAAAGGGACAGCTGGCGGTTTAGGCATTCTTGAAAGTCAACATATTTGGCGGCCACAGAGGGGCCTTCCGGAACGTTCCGTCTCGATTTTAAGGGCGTGGTTGTTCGACCATTTTCTTCATCCGTAAGAACTCTCTCCCTCTCTCTCTCTCTGAAGAAGTGTGGTATGAGAACATGAAATTATGAGATAATATTTGAATTCTGCTAATTCCGATGTGGATATTTCCGATTTTGGAACAATATTTTTCATTTGAATCCGAAGTTATGATTTCCGATCTTCTCTCCAATTTTTTGGAATCGAATTGGAATACATTTTAGATTTCGAATTCCGATGCTGGATCTTAATTTTCAAAAATATTTTCTAAAATTTTGATTTTACTCCTAAATTTATCATGTATTTTTATATTATATGTAACTAATAATTGAAAATTAATGCCAATTCCGATAAAAAAAAAATCCGATTTTGCAACAAGTTTTTTCATTCCAATTTTCGAACTTCAGAAATTCAAAATTTTCGGAATAGAATTGAAATTAGTTGCTGGTTTCCCACGCGAATCTTGATTGAATTGAATTTATATTTGTGTGTGAAGGTATCCCACAGACACCGACAAGCACATGTTGGCCACACAAACCGGCTTAACAAGAAACCAGGTACAAATTTTATATTCAAGCTCGACTTTTTTTTCGGACACTCCTAATTAGTATATTGACTTTTATACCCCTGAATCAGGTTTCTAACTGGTTTATCAATGCTCGAGTTCGTGTATGGAAGCCTATGGTTGAGGAAATACACATGCTAGAAACCAAAGGAGTGTCCGAAACAGGATCAGGAGTACTATTAAATGCTCCAAAAACCACAAATCATAACGAAGGTTTCGACCAATCAAACGAAAGCAGCAACCAACCATTGAATAGGCTAAAAATGAGTTCGATTATCGACAAACAAATGGTGGAATATTCCTCGGCCGAGCAAGAAGATGCCGTTGGATCGAACGTAAATGTGTGGAATCAAGAAAAGCGTTCTCGTGTAGAGTATCATGTTCCGTCGGGCCCCACCCCCGATGGATCAATGATGGAATATTCCTTGATGATGCCTCCTCACCGAAGTGGGCCCGAGATGGGTGGGCTTGGTTCGGTTTCACTTACGTTGGGATTGAGACAGAGTGCCGAGAGTGGTCAACGGTCACGTTTTGGAGGTCAGATTATTCGAGACTATGTTGGCTGATTATATCTATATATAGTGTTAATGTAATGTAGTCTCTTTAATTAGCTGCAATAATATTGGGTGCTTTGTGGGATTTTAAGGTAGAAATAGAAAAGCCTGAGAAAAAGGGAAAAAAAAAGTCGAAAATCGAAAATTTCAAGAAAAAGATGCAATTTTTAGTTGGAATACCGATGGAGAAAATGTGCATGTAGTGGTACGGTGATATATATTTTGAAAACAAAGTGTCGAAATATGGTTTCTTGCGGCTTATATATATATTCGGAATTTTTGGTGTTTGGTTTTGAAATTCAGCATTCGCATGACTGTGTTTTATGTTTTATAATATTTTTAGACAATTATCTTTTATAATATTAGTTGCAGATGCTTTAGTTACGATTATACCATTATATTCATGCATGAAGATTTTTATATCATCAGATGAGTAGAGTTATATATATATATACAGATATATATATAAATATATATATATATATATATATATATATATATATATATATATATATATATATATATATATATATATATAGAGAGAGAGAGAGAGAGAGAGAGAGAGAGAGAGAGAGAAACAGAAAATATGATAATACTATGTAATTAATCTCTGCCAGGACTAGTGCCACCTTGTCTGTTGAAATCCGGTATGGAGTAAGCATGGTGATTCTCCCCGTTCAAATTATTACCATCATCTTCATCGTCGTCGTCGTTAACAACAACTCCGTTATTACCGTCGCCATTTTTAGTACCTTCGGCCTTTAATCCCTTATGCTGCGTTTCGTCTGCAACTATTCTCCTCGCTTTTGCCATGCAAGATCCCATCATCAGCAAAACGAAAACAATCGCAAAAACACGCGTCCTACCCATCCTTTGCATGTCTGTATCAATATATATACACACCTGTCATTCACAAATTCAAATATAATCACGAAAAAAAAAACAAAAAAACGAAGCGTTTCAATATAATATGTATATACATCGAGATTATTGATGACTTACGAACGAGTTTGTGGTGTGAAGAATGATCAGTTGTTTGGAATTAAGTGAGAATGCATGTATTTATAGTTGCATTGCATGTATTTATACACACACACACACACACACACATGTGTGTGTGTGTGTGTGTCCCCTGTGTGTGTGTGTGTGTGATGAAATTTGTGGATGGGGTCTCCACCAAATGAGGCAAGATTAAGTGGGGTGCCCATAGATTAATCAAATTAATGATGGATTTGGAGGAAAATTATCAGGCCATTATGAAAGAGCTATATATATACACACATTATATATGTATGTATATAAAGTTGATAAACCAGGAGGCAAAAAGTCAATGGAAAACAGTGAAATCCCTGCTATATTTGCATTGCGATGGCACGTGGGGTATGGTTAATTTATATTTAGTGTTGTTTTTATTACAAAAAGTGATCTGATTAAAGCAAATGAAATAATGTGTGTGTGTGTTGGTTTCTTAGTAAATGGAATCAAGAGAAGCCATTATTGACAGTGGCTCCTCTACCAACAGAAATCTCCACATTTATTCATTCATACTATTTCTGTCATTTACTGCAAGTTGTTGGCCTGCCATAATTGTTCTAATTACCCTACTAATTGATATTATATTATTATATCCATTCAGTGACCGACACGTGGGCTGAAAATCAAATCAAACGGCCAGATACTCGATTCAAGAATGTTCGGTTGAAGATTTGGGTTCAGTTTTCTTCGGTACTCATTCGGAATGATAGATTATTAAACAAAACTCAGAAATAAAAGAGGGAAAGAGAAATACGAACAGTTGTAGTTCCAACACACGGAACTAATATCATTATCCAAAATGGCTTAGTTCGCCCTTTTGTTCAGTGTACTGTCCAGAAATGCGACTTCATATCGGAAACTAGCACCAAGCCAAGCTACTAAATTCACGAAACTGATCTAGATCTACCCAATATCACACTGAGTTGCCTCACTGACACATGCACTGTTAACAAGTCATCAAAGGAACACTCTCACTAGCTCTAAGTTAAACACTTCAATCACCCACTACAACGGAAGATTGAAAAGATGAAAACTCGAAGAAGTGAACAATAAAGTGTTACATTTATTATCCCTCTCTATAAGGGCAATATAAATAGGCACGAAACCAAATGGTCAGAAACTGTAAAGTTGTCTCGTAGTCAAAGTCAGCAATATATACGTCGAAGACTCAGTAAAGAGTTACTAGAGAAAGAAATGGATCATGACGAAGGTACTATATAGAGAACGAGGGAAAAAGAGGAGAGAGAGAAGCGACGCAATTCAAATGAATTTGTTTTAGTTTTGTAAATCCTATATAACTAGCTTTAATATTTCTTTCGAGGGTAAATTATTAGGCTACAATAGATATACTTAATGGGGTCTTTGTAGCATTGGTTATTTATTTCCGATTTTGGGCCGAGGCCCATATTTTGCCAATGTTAGAATGGAATTTTGATTCTCTAAATTTTATGTTTAAACTAAAATAAAATAAAATCTCGTTTTGAATAAATTATACTTATTTTCCATAATTTTAAAATATCACAATTTTAACCCTAAATAGACCGATTTACAATATTAATGTCTGTGAGATGCTATACCTGGTGAATTTTTTTACACCATAGATCTATGCAAATAAATACCCACTGAGCACACACACATGAGTGTGTTATTATGTGTACATCAACAGTACAGGATTACACGGTGTATTGCACCGGGTGTAGAGGTTTCTTTTCTCATCCTAAAGTTGCAATTCTTCTACCAATTTTCTTGGGGTTTTGCATTTTCACACCTTGCTGAAGGCTGCTTGGAAGTTTCTTTTTACTTGCATGCCCTTTTCACATTAATTAATAGTAATTAGTCAAATTAATTCCATATTAAATATCTTAATCTAAGATTTTGAAGACTATTATGTTTCACTTTTGAGACTAATACGAGCACTTCTCCACCTGGCACAAAGAATTATATTTTGACCCTTATTTAGTTTGATCATGATGTAATTAATGCATTGAAATTTAATATTAGACAAATAGTCAAATAATTTTTATCATGGGCCATGGCTGCTTATGATCCTGTTATCTACAGTTGATAACTAATTAAGTGCAATAATATAATAATTCATTCATTCAAAATAAACTAAATGGTAAATTACACCTACACCCCTGAGAAATGTTAAAATAATTTTAAGGTCCTTGTAGTATCGGTAATTACAATCACCCACCTGAAACATTGTTATGACCCCTAACGGAATTAACACATTGGATAAGTTATTCCGTTAGTGCTTCTAACAGACTATTAGTTTCAGGCAGTGGTGGAGACAACATAGAGCTAGAGGGTGACATAGCCCTCCTAACATTTCTTAAATGCTTATACATTTTCATCTGTGGTAACATTAACGGCCACGCGAGAAACAAATATAATGCATATCGGTCCCCAGGACATGAAATCTTGGCTCCGGCAATTGTTTCAGGGGTGTGGTTGTAATTACCAATATCACAAGGACCTTAAAATTATTTTATCATATCTTAAGGGTATATGTGTAATTTACCCAAAAAGAAATAAACGAGTATATAATTATATATATTGCGTAATGAGTGACCGCAGCCGCAAACAGTTAAGACCAACATTCCCGGGCACGTGGAGTCAAATAAACAAAATTAACGGCAGGCGAAAATCGTGTTACAAAAGAGCAGACTTTAGTTCTAAAATCGCACTGTATTTTAAATGCGTTTTCCCATTGACTAACTAATGGACATCACTCCTTAATAATCACAACGGAAAAAATACCCCTAAAACAACAAATACTAGATCTATTATTATATGAGTAATAATATTTAAATATTAAATAATTGTATATTTTGAAAACCGATCTATGAGAGGCTACACCTGGTGTAACGTACTGGATGGTTTTGGTCCATAAATTTATATAAATAATTATCGGTGTGTGTGTGTTATTATGTGTAGATCGATGGTTTCAGTGGATGTAACATCTGAAAAAACCACCGAAAACCCATATGTAGAACCTTTGCGTTCTTCCAAAGAGGAAGTATAAAGAGGACCATAATTCCGAAAATACCCTCGTGGGTCATTTTCCATGGTGGTCAATTTTGACTTTTGTGGGGGCATATGGTCCAATTTTTTCATGTTGTGAACATCCAAATCGTGTGCTCAATCCTTTGATACCTGAAATTGAACTTTCGTGCATGAAAGTTCAATTGAAATCAACTACTTTTTCTTTATTATATTATTAATTATTTATATGCTTCCACACACCAACTCCAACACTCCATATATAATTATTAATTATTTATATGCTTTTCCACACCAACTCCAACACTCCATAACACATTTCAAATATTGCAAATTAAATCAAGAAATATAATACAATATGATAAAGCTAACAACCATGAAACTCAATTTTTTTTCTCAATGCTTCTTCATTGTTCTTGTTCTTGTACTCTCATTTGCATGCTTCACAATAGCCCAAGAAGTTGGTAAGTTAAACCAATTTCCTTTTTTTTTTTTTTTTTTGTAATGGAGAAAAAGAAAAGTTGGGAAGATTAATCTTTTTTTTTTTTTTGGATAAATGTTTATTGCAGAAAATGAGAGGGAGTTCAGTTACCAAGAGGGTAGCAAAATCGGGCCGAGCCGTTGGGGAGAGATCCGGCCCGAATGGAAGGATTGTAACGCCGGGAAAATGCAATCTCCGATTGATTTGTTGAATCGAAGGGTCGAGATTGTTTCCCATTTAGGCAGACTCAAGAGAGATTACAAACCTGCTAATGCTACTCTTATCAATAGAGGCCAT